GGGCACCGAGGCGCAGGGCGGAGTCCAGAAGTGGCTCGACGCGCTGAACGAGGAGGCGGAGGTGGATGTGGGAAGGCTGAAGAGAGGTCTCCTGGAAGCCTCGGGGATCGCAGATGCCCACCTGGGACACAAACGTGCCTGGAAGGAGGAGTGCCAGGGCAACGCCGCGGCGCAGGAGGCCTACCGCCGCATGGGCGACTATACGGACCAGTTCTACCGTGGCAAGGGCTTCACGTTCAACATGTACTACAAGTGCGCGGCCAACAAGACCTGGGATAATCCCAGGGGGTGCTGCTCGGTGATCCGCTCGGATCGCTGGTCACAGCTGCTCTCATGCGCCCAGGGGGCAGCGGGAGAGACGGGCCAGCGCTGGTACTGCCACTGCGGTGCGCCCTACTCGACCTCCTATGGTGTCTGCGTCGAGTTCATAGAGGAGGAGTCGGATCCGCCACACGCGTACTACATGCACGCGGAGCATCCCGAGGAGGACATCCGCGACCTGAAGGCACTGCTGCGCTACGACAAGCTCAAGAAGGATGGGGTCTCAGTGGTCAACGCGGTGGACCTCCTGAGGTACCTGCCCAAGGTTGAGCCGCTGGCGGTTGGCGCCGTCTTCAAGCGCTATGCTCCGCACCAGGCACAGTGGGAGGGCCACTATGTGCTGATGGAGGGGCTCACCTGGGAGAGCTTGCCCACGTTCGAGTGGACCGACCTCTACGCGCAGGTCGCCTGGGGACTGAACGACCCTGAGTGGGCGGGCTACAGCAAGAAGGCGCGGAACAAAGCCAAGAGGGAGCGCCTGGATATGGCGCGCAGGGAGTTGGCGCTCTACGAGCGCCGCCACAACCTGAAGGGGGGCAGCCTCTCGGGCGGCGGGGGTGGTACAGGGGCCGCCCCGCGCGCCGCCCCCGCTCGCAGCGCCGGCGCCCCACCGGCGAGCGGGGCCCGCGGCGGCGAGGACCCGCCACCGCCGCCAGCTGGAGTCCCGCCAGAGGCCGCGGCCATCATGGGCCCCCCGCCGCCGCCGCCGACGGCGCCCCCTGATGTGCCGCCGCCGCCGACGCACCCGCCGCCGCGGACGGACTCGCTCCCGCAGCAGGCCCCAAGCGCTGCAGCCCTGAACGTGGCCCTCGGTGAAGACCTTGAGCGTCAGATCTTTGGGCCCGCGGGGCAGGCGGGGGGCAGTGGCGACCTCGGCGGGGAGGCGCGGGCGCTGCCGTCGCAGGTCTTCGCCGCCATCGCGCAGGGAACAGGCCAGCAGGCCTGGGGAGTAATGCCCAGCAGGTTCCAGGGCCCCGACAGGCCGCGTGAGTACATGCCACATTGTCTACTTGCTGCGTTCTGTAGTGCGGCGGGCCCATAGCGGCGCCCCCGCCCGCGTGGCGTCGCATGTAGCCTGTGCCTAGGCTAGGCAATTTTTTGTGCCTGTGCACTCTGCCACCTTGGCTCGCCAACTGGCTTGCCATCTCGGCCTCCTCGCGTTCACTTGCGCTCGTTGGCCTCGCTGGCGGTGCTGGGGCAGCCCCGTGTACTGCAGCGTCGCCGTCGGGCGCCTGGCCATTTTGGCTTGCCTTCCTGGCCTCATCTCGCGCCTTCATGCGCTTGTAGGCTTGGGTGGCGGTACTGGGGTCGCCCCGTGTGCTGCTATGCCGCCGCCTGCGCCTTACTTTTTGCTGTGGGGACCAGCTGCCCTCGGCCAGGCGCCAGTTGCTGCGTGCACGTCAGACCTGCCCTTGGCTTGTCATTCAGGCCTAGCCTCGCGTCTTTCCGCGCTAGTCGGCCTGGGTGGCGGTACTGGGGTCGCCCCGTGTGCTGCTGTGCTGTTGCTGGCGCCTCACCTTGGGCTGTTGGCCCAACTGCCCACGGTGCGAGCGCCTGACGTTGCAAGCATGTCAGACCCGCCCTTTCACCCAGAAGAGGTGCGCGCTACATACTGGTAATGAGGCAGCCACAAGGACGCTCTTCCCTAGGTGGTTGAGCCGTGGTGATGTGGTGCACGAGACCGCCAGTAGTAGTAGTAGTAGTAGTAGTAGTAGTAGTAGTAGTAGTAGTAGTAGTAGTAGTAGTAGTAGTAGTAGTAGTAGTAGTAGTAGTAGTAGTAGTAGTAGTAGTAGTAGTAGTAGTAGTAGTAGTAGTAGTAGTAGTAGTAGTAGTAGTAGTAGTAGTAGTCGTAGTCGTAGTAGTAGTAGTAGTAGTAGTAGTAGTAGTAGTAGTAGTAGTAGTAGTAGTAGTAGTAGTAGTAGTAGTAGTAGGCGACTACGAGGTGCCTGTCGTGCGAAAAGCTTGGGAAAGGCCACCTGATTATTTAGCATGAATTTCCGAATTGAGGGAAGAAGCCGGATTCTGGCTGAACGCGTTGGGAGGGGGGTGCGGTTCATGACCTAGAATTGTGTAGGGTGCAACACTCACGGACAAGGGGAGGGAGGGCGGATCATGAGGAGGAGGAGGAGGAGGAGTCGGAGGAGGAGAAGGAGGAGGTTCAATGTAAATCCACACCAACGATATTGCAATGAAGCTTCCTCGGATTTACTTCTCCGTTGAGGTAAGTGA